AAAAGAAATATAGTATATGTTAAACGTTAATTTTTAATTATCTGAATTCAAAATAATGTCAGCCCTTAACTTTAACTCTCGCCCCTGCCTTGAATCGTTTATACTAGGGGTGCGTCCCGAGCCTTCGGGGTTGAAAAAGAATTTTCATTCACCTCGGTCCTTCGGTCCTCATTCTGCTTCATATTTTGAATGGATGACAGTTCAGTACTTCGGCCCTCGCTTCTACATCATATTTTAGATGGACTTTAGTAAGCTTCTATATATTTTAAGGACCTTTGAATCATTATGAGGTTATTATTATCATTATTACGGTAACCAAGAAGAAACCAGGAAGTCTTGTATAAATTTCAAGTCTGAGTCACAAAGGTTGTAATATAAAAATTTTCAGATAATTAAATATCACTAGTATAAATCAATCAAATAGAAAAGCATTTTATACCCTGAACAAATAAATAATCAAATGAACCTAAAAAGTTTAGGTATCTTTTTTAAAATGTTAAAATAGTTACGGAGGGCTACAATGAGTAAAATACAAAGCGGCGGGTTTATAAAACCAAAATTCTTTGAAGAATGGGGGACATGGCCGACTAATATCTGCAATTGTTTGCGTTCTTTTAAAATAAATTTAATCAGAATCTTTCTGTTTTTGATGTTTCCCAAGATCAAAATTAGGTATATAAGCATTTCCTTCTTGCATCGATCGCTGATACATTTCAATAAAAGTATTTTGAGCAACTAAAATTAATAATTTTAAAAATATGTTATAGATATCGGGTTCTTTATCGAGATCTCAGCCGGCATTAGTCGCTAATAACTAGAGTACGTCAAATCGAGCTCGAGTATGCCGAGTTTTAAACGTTCGAATTTGAGTTCAACTTTAGAGGTTATTAAAAAATTGATACCCTCCCAGGGTTAGGTCTCCCGAAGGTCGAGAGACTTTCGGGAGACGCCCTGGGAGTCCGGTCACCAACCTTAACTACATAAGAACGATTAAAACAAATCGATTAACGAAATATTTGTATTCAACGCAAAAATGGGAAAGTTTTAAGTGATAGGGTGAGGTAAGAAAAAGCCTTTTTTTGCTGTTCGGATGACACACTGAATATTTTTTGGGCTTTTTCTTTTCTTTGTTTTGAGTAACGTTCCGAGGGAACGTTACTCAAAACAGGTGTCAGATCTATAACAGAGGTCGAGTTCGAGTTTTAGGTTCGAGACATGATTTAAACCGAGTATGTCGAGCAACAAGTTTTCGAGCTCGAGTAATCTGAGTATTATGATCCCGCTATCGACCGAGTAATGACACAAAAAACCCGAGCTGTCGAGTCGAGTAATCGAACTCGCTCAACTAGGACGCACTCTACTATTAACAAGAATTATCTGATCCTAATATGGATTTTTTCTATAAGAATATCGAGCACATCGAGACAGGATCCGAATATCTAGCAAGGGTGTCTACAAGATTAATACCTTCGTGTTGAGGAGTATGATGAGTTATATCTTGGTGATCAGCGTGATGATGTGATACACCCTGGTGAGGTCTCGCTTTTCGAGGCTTGGATGTTTTAGGTTTAAAATTTAGAAAACCCTTTCCCTTAGCTTGGCCGTCATTATAAAGTTTTGCATAATGAGCAGGGTCTATAATTTAAAATCTTTGTTTAAATTACAAATATTTTACCATGTCCAGTATTGCTAACAATTTCTGTAATTTAAATTTGAGAGTAATTTTAGTTTAATTTATTAAAGTCGTTTTACAAAATATTCTGATTTTTATGAGCATCAGAGTTCTTTCTCTCTTATAAGCAAGAGAGTGAATTTTACCGTGCTTCTTTATAAAGTTTAGAGGTATTAATCACACCCGTGAGGAGACAATTAGACTATAATTTCATGCCGTCAAAAAACTGAAAAAGACCTCATCCCCGAACATTCATAAGGTCCCTTAGAATCGTCTTAAAGAGCTTGGAGGGTATACCGAAAAATATCGAGAAGAAATCAGTGAGTATTAATTAGAAGTGTCTCAAGTACCTCCATGTCCAGACGCACCAATTTGAGTACTTTGGTAAGAACTTCCATACCCCGCTGGATTCGAACTATAATTCGAGTCGAACTCTTGTTGTTGATTAAGATAATACTGATTTAATGCGTGTTGGTCACTAAAAATATTTGTAAAATTTATCTTTATGTCTGAGATTTCAACAAAAAAATTAACCGCAGTTCATCCCAATCAGTTATGGGTCCTGAAGCATAATTTCCTTGATTGTCTCCATGGCTTGGAAATAAATTTAGCGTTCTATCTGGCGCTTCATCCTGATAAAAATTTTAGATTATACATAAAGGCAAAATATTCTTTAACAATTTGCTCGACTTTATTTAGAGAATTAAAATTTATTTTATAGAACCTCGGATGTGTGTGTATCCTCGTTTTGGTCTGAAAATAAAATACAGTTAAAATTTTTAGTTAATATTTATATATTTCGTGATTCTAATACTGTAATGTTTTATAATAATTACTCTTCCAAAATAATCTCTCTCTCCCTCTAACGGGATCCTACCAGATTGTCCCCACACTCGGCGGCCAAATTTTGGCCTAAACCTACGCGATTTCAATAAATTTAAATAAATTTGAATCGTTTTATGGATAAGTTTTAATCGTTTTTAAAATTAAATCTGTCTGATTATCTTTTCTTATCGCTGATATTCTTTAATATGAATTAAATATTATACGTCAATTTTTACCCACCTCCCCCAAACATCTATTCTTCAAAAAACAAAATTTACCGTGCCATGAATGTTTATCCCTACTTCCACCTCCATAAACGAGCTTCACAAGACACAAAAAATATAAAATAACTATGAAACTTTTTAAAAGTTTTGGACAAATTGGGAAAATAAAAGACATTTCCTAAATTTATAATTTAAAAGCTAAAGCGAATTTTCAAATAATTTCATAGACATTTAAAAAATAATTTAATAAAATATTATTAAGAAATTCTCGCATAATGTCAATGAATAACATATCCCCTTCATTTTTATTAATCGCTTAGCATGCGTCTCTCCATTGAATTGAGAGGCATGCCCCCCCATCTAAAATTGCCAACCCCCTCCTTTATCCCCCCCCCTCCTCTCCCACATCCCTCCACCTCCCTCCGGTCCCCTCAACACTGAATTGAGAGGCATGCCTTCCCCCCTATAAATTGCCAACCCTCCATCCTTTATCAATCCCCCACCTCCTCTACACTGAATTGAGAGGCATGCCCCCTCTATATTTTTATTTACCTAGCCTTGTAAACAAAATCATACGATTTTTAGAAATTCGATTTCGCTATAAGCAGGCAGGCATTGAATACAAAAATAAATTTTTTTGAGAGTCATAAATCATAAAATACAATTTTTCTATCTGATTAAATTTTATCAACTCTCTAACTTTTAAAAATTAAAAAAAAATCGAAATTAATGCTTTAAATGGGCCGACCTATAGCCCATGATTCAAGAGTTTCAGATCTGGTCAAGGGTTGGGAGAATTTGGCAAAATTTCATAATTTGGCAGAAACATTGACAGAACTTTAATTTTCTATTTCCCTCAAAATTTTTTAAAAAATCAAGTATTTTTAAAGCATTCATTTAAAATTTTTAGAGGTTAGAGCAATAGAAGATCCTTTATAAATTTAAAATTGACTGTCAAAACGTTAAATTTTTTAAAAATATACAACAGGCAGGAAAGCAATGGAGAGGCACTCTCGACAATGCCCAATAAAAATCGGAAAAAATTTTTTATGTCTAACATATTTTTCTATTTCTCTAGCCTTTAAAATATTTGAATAAAAGTTTTATTTAAATCATATGATATTTTTTAAAGGAATTCTTGGGAATTACAGTCAAAATTTTAAAGATACGAACAAATATTTATTTTCCTAAAACTTGAACAAAAAAGGCTGTTTATGACCTTTAATTTAATACCTTTCCCCTCCATTTGAATCCACTTCTAATAAAATACCCTTTGGTTGAAAATATTGAATATAGAATGATTAAAAAATATAATTTAATAAAAAAAAATTTCAAAAAAAACTTGCAAAATAGATTGAAGAATAGAATGCCCTACTTATTTGATGATCCTCTAATAGAATGACTTTTGCAAAAATTTTTTTGTAAAATTCGTTAGTGATTTAAATATTTTTCGAATACTGCAGATTCAAATTAGCCAAAAAATATATAAGGATTAAGAGGATTTAGAGAGATATTGATTGATTGAGGGAGACTTGGAGCAAATCGAAGATATTAGAGTATAGAAGTGAGAGAAAGTGAGAGGTTTTGAGAGATATCAGTCGATTTGGAGGTTAGGGAATTTGAAGGGAGATATCAAGGATATAACAGAATTTGTAGAATAGAATGAAGAATCAGGGATTTGTAGAATGACAATCGAAATGTTTGGCTTTACAATACCGAAATAATTTTCCCAAAGTTAGAGAACAAGACTACCAAGACCCTTTACAAAAATTAACCGTTTTAATAAAATTTTAAAAACCAAAAACCGGAATCTTGTGAAAATGAGTGATTTTATTAAAAATTCCCACAAAATAAAACCGGTATTTGTCTAAAACTAAAAACCAAAAACCGGGTTTCTAAAATTTGGATTAACCGAAAACCGGGGGTTCTTGTTAATAACAGGTCGTCAACAACCCTAGTTTAATTGAGAAGCTCTTATGACCCCCTCCTTCCACCACTCCTTCCGCAACTCAAAAAGGATCACTTCATTACATCTCTCATACCGTAATTAAAAAAAATTATTTTTAGGAAATACTCTTAGTTTAAAAAATAAGGGTAGGTATTTAATACTCAAATGAAATATTTCTCTATTGATTTCAACATGTTTGCATTCTCCCTCCGCTTACTAAAAAATATTTTTATTTTATTTTCCAAACATTTTTCTCAGTTTTTATATTTTTTTGGATACTATTTTACGTTAATTTTCATTTAATTTAAAAAATTGTTTTGCCAATTTTAACTTAAAATTATTTTTATTTTATCATTTTTCTCTGATAATTTTATTATGGAAAATTACAATATAAATTCGTTTTTTGATTTACATTCAAGCAGTTCCGGTGATTGAATTTTTAATTAAATTTATTTAATGACCCGTATTTTTTTGAATAATTACCCCGTGTAATTTTTAAGTTCTAAATGGCGAGGATGGTTAATCGAAAACGACAAGTTTTTCGAGTTTAGAGGGGGGGGGTTTCGGGAGGGTAATTCATGGGCTTTATCTTAGGGAATACGTCACATCGAGGTATATGCGTCCCTTCAAAGTAGAGACCGGACCGATACGATATATCGATAAAAATATCGATATATCGATGTCGATATTATCGATAAACGATACCGATATTATCGAACGATAAATTTTTCAATTTTTTCGATATTTATCGATAATCGATATTTTTTCGATATCGATACCGATATATCGAACGATAAATTTTTTTGATTTTTTCGATATTTATCGATAATCGATATTTTTCGATATCGATACCGATATATCGAACGATAAATTGTTCGATATTTTTCGATATTAATTTCTTTTAAATTTTGTATATTGGCATAAGGTTTTATTTCTCTTTTAGATTAAATACTAGTGACCGGCGTCGGACCTGACTCCAGCCGGATTTCCCGACGCCCGGGTCGCATATCCGGGTTTTTTGAATCCAAAAAGTTTTTTTTTATCCAAAAAGCTTTTTTTTTGAATCCAATTGGTACAACTTTCCCCGACATTGGTACAACTTTCCCCGACATTGGTACAACTTCCCTCTTCATTGGTACAACTTCCCTCTTCATTGGTACAACTTCCCCCGACATTGGTACAACTTTCCCCGACATTGGTACAACTTCCCTCTTCATTGGTACAACTTCCCCCGACATTGGTACAACTTTCCCCGACATTGGTACAACTTCCCTCTTCATTGGTACAACTTCCCTCTTCATTGGTACAACTTCCCCCGACATTGGTACAACTTTCCCCGACATTGGTACAACTTTCCCCGACATTGGTACAACTTCCCTCTTCATTGGTACAACTTCCCCAGTCATTGGTACAACTTCCCCCGTCGGGAAAAAATATCGAAAAATATCGACGATATTTTTCGATACTCGATATTATCGATGATCGATACCGATATTATCGAACGATAAATTTTTCAATTTTTTCGATATTTATCGATAATCGATATTTTTTCGATATCGATACCGATATATCGAACGATAAATTTTTTGATTTTTTCGATATTTTTCGATACTCGATATTTTTTCGATATCGATACCGATATATCGAACGATCACTCGAGTCCGGTCTCTACTTCAAAGTATATGCGTCCCAGGGAAGCATATGCGTCCACTCAAAGTATATGGCGTCCCAAAATTAATTTTGGGACGCAAATACCTTCATGGGACGCATATGCTCTGACGGGACGTATATACTATTTTTGGGACGCATATATTTTCGTGAGACCTTATACTTTCACACAGCAACATAAAATAGGGAGAGGGTGCAACCAGCCTTTCAGGCTATGTTGCTGTGTTTTATGTCCTAATATAGAGCCAATACTTGTTTCAAACTGGGCTTAGTTTATATCAGATTCTATAAAACTATAAACCAAACCTAAAAATATTCCCCTATGTTTGAATATACCATAGGGGAATATACTGAAAGTAGAAGGAGGAGGGAGGGGGGGGGGAAGCTCAGAACTACCGAGAGGGTTTCTAATTATGAAAGAGGGTAATTATTCAATGAAATACGGCCTTATAAACCTTTTATAATTTTATATAGATGCGGATGATGAGGATAATTCCTTAATTAATCCACAAAATAAATTTATTAAAAAAGAATTTCATATTGACAAAAGAGGCAAAAGATGGGAATTTTTACAAAAAATTATGTCTCAAAAGGATTTGGATATTGTTTGTGAGGAAAATTTACTTGAAATGTTGGATGAGAGAAGCGATAGAATACGTTTTTGGTAAAATGAAAATTTAAAAATAAAAATTCTAGGAGAGTATAAAATCTGTGTTCATTTACTAGTAAGGTTGGCGGATTCGGATATCCGGTTCGAAAAAGGTCGGATATTCGGAAATTCATGTTCGGATATCAGATTCTGATATCCGAATTTTTTTCTGATATCGGATACGGATATTTGAAGATTTCCAACTATAGTTCATCATCTCTTCCATACAGAGGGATTAACATAAGATTGATTTAGTAAAATGTGTTATTCCGTATTATTCCAATTTTCAGTTTTACACTTTCTATTACTCTAATATTTCTAGTGAACCGCAAGATAAAGTTAATTTTTATTTTGCACTTGGTACAAATTTAATAAATATACTTTAGTTAACCAATAGGTCCTCGATACTACTCCCTTCTTTCTACCAATCATTCCCCAAACCCCTTAACAGTCGCTTCGAAGATGCCCTGATAAGGAAGTTTGACCGTATACCTAAATTTTTAACACAAAATAATTTAAAATTAATTTTTGAATTTAGTTGTCACTATTCATTGGAATACTTGTGTCCTTTCCGTGCTGTAATGATTAAACGAAAAGCAACTTTATTTACCAGATTTGAACATAATCATTTACATGAGAATGAAAATTTAATTGAAGAATCACGTTGTTCCCCCATTTCGAACACTAATGAATCGACAAATTTCCAATTAAAATCCTTAGAGGAAAGAATGAAAAAATTGGCGGAGCAACTTTCCTTAATTTTCAAAATTCATGAGTTTGTTTTTGAATTTTTTATGATTTTTGAGCGATTAATGACTGGTGCTGCACGGTTCAAAAAGAGCTTAAACAATTATTAGATCCAATTTCTTTGGATTATAGGCCATATGTAAAAACTGTTACTGGGTTCTTGGGTACTTTGAACTAGGGTAGCAACCCGAGGGGCGGTATGCGGGTGTGTGTGCATTTGGGGTTCGGGTCGGGGCTTTTATCAAAAAATCCGTCGGGGTTTCGGAGGTAGGATTGTTAACCTAGTTTGAACTTTTTAAAGTCTCCTTTTCATTCTAAATTTATCTTTTATCTCTTCGAAATAGAGGGGAAAAATTATATAATAAATTAAAAACCAAAGGCATATAAAGCAGAATTAAGGAAAAATAAAAGTGGCATGTACAAGATTCTAAATTTGAGATCCTTGAATCGGTTCCACAAGCTAACATTAATTACCAAATTCATTCTTAAGTCTTTAGGGTTCAATTCCGATACAACCAATATTCATAACAAGGAGAGTGCCTGAGGTGTCCGTAGGACTTCGGAATGAAATTTGGTATACAGATAGATACTCTACTTTTGTTTTGAAATTCGCACCATTTTCGCTTCGAAGTACCAGAGACCGAGTTATAAGCCCCTAAAGTTTCATCCCAAAGTCTTTCGGACACCTCAGGCACTAGACAACCCCGACCCCAAATTTTTTTCGATCCTGAAGGGTCGTGGAGAGACCTTGATTTAATTAAAGGAAAACAAATTTGTGAGTAATTTTAATATTTTAGAGAAGTTTTTCTATTTATTGGAAATGTTAATGATAATTTTGGAAGATTGTTAGCTTTATCAGACAAAAGCACACACATTAAACTTTGCGAATTTCAAAATTGTATATTAATTAATGAACAGAATTTTGACAAAAACTGTGGGCTAGAAAATTTTATAAATTTGGTTGGTGCCAGATTTTCAAGAAATTTTTTATAAAAAATTTTTTCAAGTTGCGAAAGAAATGTGAACAGTTTTTCGACGTTATTGATGTTGTTGCTACTTGAAAATTATTTGAAAATTTTTAATATATTACATGATAATTTTGTTAATTTCTTTAAATTATGAATTGTTTGGATTTATGGGGACACGCCTAAGTAGGCGCGCGGCCAAGTATGCGAAACGCCATAACTACCTGAAAAATTTATGGACCCTAACAATTTTGTAACAATCTCTTTAGCTCGATGAGTGGAGTCGTTTAATAACAAATTTGGTAAGATTCTGAAATTTTGAAGCAAGTTATGACTTTGCACCTACTTGGCCGCGCGCCTACTTGGGCTGTGCCCGGATTTATGATCGCTATTATATACAGGAATAAATTATGTTTATCATATTTCCTCCAAAATAGCTTCAGGGGCTTCTTTGTTCGCTTATTTGAGGTAGGATCAGGGTTGTCGTTTTATCCTATTTACAGGTAGCGTTGAGTGGTAGCGTCCCATTAAAGTGGTTTGGAAACGACAACCATGGGCAGGATATTTTAGAGAAGGGGGGGAGGTTCTATTTTAGACAAACAAACAAAAAATTTTTATCATGATACTCAAAAGTTAAAAGATCAATAAAAAATAGTCATTCAAACTATAAATAATCATTTAAAGCAACTCAAATTATCAAAATCATTCATCTCATGAAGACCAAGCTTGCATTGGACTACTGTAGATTTTATTGGAATAAGGCAGCCCGACATGAGTAATAGGATTATTTTTAAATTTTTTCCAATAGAATACAGCACAGATTGCTAATTCAAGTGATAATGTTAGAAACGAACTCTCGCCGGTATAAGTTGCTAGAGGATATCCAGTGATCTGAAAATATGTATTTGTTTAAGAAAAATAACTATTATAAGTCTAATAAAACTAAATCTCGAAATCACATCTCTGTGATATCTGTATCTTTCCCTATGTATCCTCACAATTCGTCCATTTCAGATATGCCCAACGAGATGAATATTGCTAACGCCTCAAAGGATCTTATATTTCTCTGCTTAAGCCTCCACAATCAAAAACTAACAGATCGCCTACAACCATAGGTAATTCTTCGGTTCGTACCCCCCTCCTTTTTTCTCCTCAAAGTGTTAAAAAATGGTCAGTCAGTCTTATATTACAGAACTCGTCGAGCTGTGTCGAATGATCCAAAATCGGTAATATAAGACTGACTGACCATTTTTAACACTTTGAGGAAGGAAAAAAGAGTGGGGGGGGGGGTATCATGGTCAAATCATTATCCAACCCTAGATTAACTCTAGATATCACAACTAACTCAGGTAAACGCCTTATCTATAAGGTGACGGCTTATGCTGACTTTAACGATGAAAAGACGCCCGAAGGTAAAATCTTATCGAAATTCGTATACATAAATTCTGGAAAATTTCTAGTCTTCCCTACAATTTTGAAAAATCATGCAATACTTACAAATTTATATATAAGGTTAGTTTCTCCAGGAATCACATTAAGCAATACTTCTATCATTACAGTAATTTTAATTATTCGGTTGTCCTATAAACAGATTTAGGTTATTATCGGAAGGATCGCAATTTCCCTACCAATTTTTTAATAGCTTCCCCACTAAGTTGAGAAAGCAACCGAAGAAAAACAATGCAACATATAATATTTGCTATCCCAAAACAAGTTTTTGTAACGAGTATTGGATAATTTTTTAGTCGAAGCTGCATACATGATTGGGTTTCGCAATGGATTACTGAGAAAATCAATTTTTAAATTTAATTTTTTATCAGTAGAATTCAAGAATAATGTAGGATTTTATTTTTATATTCACACGGGACTGATAAGATTAGTTCCTATATCAAGGTTATCCCTTATTGAATTACCGTATTTTCTCGATTAATTCCCCTCACTCGAATAATTCCCCCTCTCATTAATTCCCCATGCCAAGGAAGGGTTGAAACAATAATTCCCCACCCCCAAATACCCTACTGCACGTTCAAATGCCAAACTCGAATAATTCCCCTCTCTCAATTAATTCCCCATGCCAAGGAAGGGTTGAAAAATTAATTCCCCAGGGGAATTAATCGAGAAAATACGGTATCAATTATGCTGCTCATCACTTAAATACCAGTCCAATTTTAAAAATTTGTTTTGAAGATATATTATCATTATTGAGTGGTATTATGAAGGTTAGCTTCGTCTGTATGCTATTTTTAAGGTCTAAAGCATCTGGATGGGTCCAGGAGCTAACTCCAGAACCTGACCTGGGCTAGCTCCAGACCTAGCTAGCTCCAGACCTAGCTAGCTCCAGAACCTAGCCGGAAGCGATTTGAAAATGGTCTGGGTATTAAATACTCCCAATGCCCAGCACTTTTTTCTAAGTTCCGAGTTGAAATCTAATCCAACTAAACAAAATAGGCAAGGTTAAGCTTGTCCTTCATTATTAAATTCATTTCACTGTTACTTTCGTTAATTAATTCCACTAATTAAATTTAAACATAATTAACTTACGAATATCATAATCCAACGGAAATTCAAACGAATAGCTTGCTCCGACCCCAACATATACTAATACTAAAATAATTATTCCAGCTATAAAGAACATTCTTCGTCTTTTGCCATTCCAATGACTGATTCCAGTTTTAATCAAAAGACACCGATCCAGACATAGAATGAAGACTAAGATGCTTGATATGGCGTAGTGTAAAGCGTAGAATATGCCGGAAATGAAATGGAAGAGTGTAGCAGAATATACAGGTTCTGTCCCGCGGAGGAATGGTGGACGCCACCATAATACTTTGTAAAAAAGATAGGGCAAGGTTGAGGCTTAAATTATTATAAGATTATTTTTGTAATTTATGTTAAGTAGTGTGGCTGATGTAATTTTTAAGGCATCACTCAATCAAAAGCTTAAGGCTGGGATTATTATACATATTATATTTCAATCTTACACTTATTGCATTGTAACTTAAATAGAAGATCAGACTTGAGACATACAGTTGAGAAAATGATGGCGATTATTGAGACTTCCGAATGATATAAGATCCATTCGGTTTGGATCAAGCATAAAAAAGTAATAGCCGATCCAATTCGGATGAACTAAAATCGAGGGAGATAACATAAGGGTATCGAAAAATCCAATGGTTGGGTAATGAAATAAACTAGTGATCAAGCTGTGCCATGCTACTAGCGATCAAGCTATGCCATGATCAAGTTGTGCCATCCTACTGGGAACCTATTAAGTGACAGTTCCTTCTTATATGAATTTAAAAATTTA